GGAGCTTCAAAGCTCATCGGATTCCTCCAGTTATAAATAAAGATTCCGATTCTCAGTTATTGTGTGTGTGCCTGATGTATTTTTTCTCCTCGAGATTGTCTGTGTGTGTTGTGTTTGAGTGCCGTGATGTTTCTTGAGCGAGTGCGACAGTGTGTGCGTGTGCTGTTTTTAAGAGGGGAGCGATAGTGTAGCGGTTGGTGCCAACACACAGTAACGATTATCTCAACCGGTCCTGGGCCTCCCCTAGGTCGACTCAGCCTCAAATCAGTACCTGATGCGGTGTGTAAACGTCGCCGCTGGGGAGACAAAGGCGGCTGGGCGTGGTGCTGGCCACCCACCCACTCGTGTGCCGTTCTGACCTTCATAGGTGCTCGCTATCAGCACTTGCCCCAACAGTCTGCCAAGGCTATACGGGGGGATCTTTGTATTTGTTGTATTTAAGAGTATACACGTGTTCTTTTTTCTAGACATTGTGTGTGTGTTGTGTGTCTGATGTTTCTTGACAGAGTGCGACAGTGTGTGTGGTGTTTAAGAGTGTAGACATGTGTTGGTTTTGTAAGAGATTGGGAGTGTGTTGTGTGTGTGCGAAAGTGTTTCTTGAACGTATATTCACACGTGCATCTCGAGACGTGTGTTGTGTTAATTGAAAGTGTGAGTGTGCATGTAGTTGCAACAGTGGCGAGATGTTAACTACATCGCCTGGTATACAGGAGGTAGTGGATTCAACCCCAACCCTGATGCCTGCTGTGTATTTGGAGTTTGTGTGTCCTCTCTCCCCGTAGCCACGCGGATTTTTCTCTCCGGTTTTTTTCCACCACATTTACAATCAACATGCGTTCATAGTTTTTGACTGTTGGCAATTTCCAAATGATAATCCACTTCGTTGCGCTATAATTTGTGGCCAGGTCGCTTCTGAAAAAGATATATATAATAGCTCAGTGAGCCTAACCTGGTAAAATAAATAAAAAGTTCAGTTTGTTGAGATAGTGTGTGTTGCATTTCTCTAGAGCATGTAAGTTGTTCTTTTTATAGAGAGAGCTGTTTTCAAGTGAGTGTGTGCTTTCCACGTGTTTCTTGAGTGTGTGTTGAAGAGTGTGTGGCACATGTGGTGTGTTTATTCAGTGTGTGCGTTTTTATGGTGTATGTGTGGGGAGCTGTGGGATAGCGGTTAGCGCGCTGCGCTACTTAACCCGACTATCGCTCACGGCCACCAGTGACGATTATCTAAACCGGTCCTGGGCCTCCCCTAGGTTGACTCAGCCTGGAATGAGTAGCTGGTGCGGTGTGTAAACATCGCCACTGGGGAGACGCATGTAGCCCGGGCGTGGTGTTGGCCACCCACCCTCTCGTGTACCGTGCCGGCATTCATAGGCGTTCGCTAACAGCACTTGCCCCAATTAGTCTGTTAAGGCTACACGGGGGATCTTTGTCTTTGTTTTACCAATGTATAAACATACAGTAACCGTGTCAATTACAGTACCCGTGTGTCAGTGTTTGGTACGTGTATGTTGGTGCGTTTAACAAGCGTGGCGTTTCAATAACACACGTGTATGTAATGTGATGTATGACTAAATTAATCATGTGTGAGCATCTTATTGCCACTGTGCGTGGTGTCAGGTGAGTGGTGAGTGTATTGGTGAGCGTTTGGTGAGTAAGTGCTGAGTGTTTGCTCATTGTGTCAGGGGAAGTGTGTCAGGCGACGGTCAGGTGAGAGGCGAGTGTGTGAATGTTTAGGGTCAGGTGGAGAATGTGGCAGCCACGGTGGTGAGTGGTCTCTGGTGAGTTCAGGGCGGCCATTGTGTCAAGACAAGGCCGTAGCCATGGAGTCAACATTGGGGAGGACCAAATCTTCCAGGGGGTCTGGGGGGGTTCCCCCCCTTGAAAATAAATATCTAAATTTGAAAACGAATTTCTTGCCTAAAATATTTAAAAAATCACTAACACATAGGATGGACTTTTTATTTATGTTTTACAATAATGTCTAAGAGTGTATTGTATTACATTGCTCTTTTTTTCTTTTTTACCTTTTCTTGTTTCATTGTATGCAATGGCAGAGGTTAGGAATGAATAAAGTACAACCATAACCACAATTATATAAACATAAATCTATTTTATAGCAATATAAAGTGGGGGGACATTTTGAGCATATTTGAATATGGGGGGGGGGGACGTCCCCCCCCCCAATATATATTATAATTACGGCCTTGTGTCAAGGTGAGTGTGTCAGGCGATTCGTGAGTGTGAGGTACCTTGCTGAGTGGTGGTCAGTGTCATTTGTAGGGTGGAGAGAGCTGAGTGTGTCAGGTAGTAGTGTGGTGTCTGGTGAGTTCAGTGCGATCATTGTGTCAAGGTGAGTGTGTCAGGTAGTAGTGTGGTAAGTGTCTGGTGAGTTCAGGGCGATCATTGTGTCAAGGTGAGTGTGTCAGGTAGTAGTGTGGTGAGTGTCTGGTGAGTTCAGGGCGATCGCTGTGTCAAGGTGAGTGTGTCAGGTAGTAGTGTGGTGAGTGTCTGGTGAGTTCAGGGTGGTCATTGTGTCAAGGTGTGTCAGGTAGTAGTGTGGTGAGTGTCTGGTGAGTTCAGGGCGATCATTGTGTCAAGGTGAGTGTGTCAGGTAGTAGTGTGGTGAGTGTCTGGTGAGTTCAGGGCGGTCATTGTGTCAAGGTGTGTCAGGTAGTAGTGTGGTGAGTGTCTGGTGAGTTCAGGGCGATCATTGTGTCAAGGTGAGTGTCAGGTAGTAGTGTGGTGAGTGTGCCAGGTGAGTTCAGGGCGATCATTGTGTCAAGGTGAGTGTGTCAGGTAGTAGTGTGGTTGAGTGTCTGGTGAGTTCAGGGCGATCATTGTGTCAAGGTGAGTGTGTCAGGTAGTAGTGTGGTGAGTGTGCCCAGGTGAGTGTGTCGGACTGTCCGTTGAGTGTCTGGGTAGTGCCCAATTTCCGCTTTGTCAGGATGAAGATGGTTTAGTTTTATTTTACGTTTTTGGGTGATATGTTTGCTTTTCCTGGACTCTGCACTTGTACTCCTATCGTGATTTTCTTTTGGCGGTGTTGTTTGTTGTGACGCTCTTACCCGGTCCCAACCGGACATCTATGGGGAAAAGAGCTTCATAGCTCATCGGATTCTTCCTGCAGTATGAATAAATATTCTGATTCTGAGCGTCGGGTGACTGGTGGAGGCTCAGTGTGAATGTCACGCCACCCTGAGACGTTAAGTGCTCAACAATGTGTCACATCCAAATATTCAGTTCAGTCCTTAAGTCACATCACGTGCTATTAAGAAGGGGCCATTGCCCGAAACATCGCCGATTTTACATGGTTTCTTTAAAGGCCACACACACATTGTTGTTGACTAGTGTGTCGAGTTTCAAGTTACACAGACAGTAACAACATGAGGATTTTAACTCGTCCCCCAACTTAGGAATGTGGAATTTCCGCCACTTGCACGAAGTTGTTGACGAATCACCGCGTTATGCCACTTAAATGCTCGTTTGACCAGGAAATAACTTTGTCTACTGACCTTTAACATGTTAGTTGTGAACGCATTAACTACTAAAACAAAACAAAAATCTTAACAATTATACACTCCGGCACACACCTCTGCGCGTAATGTATGTCGTCGTCAACCAACAATGTACTTGTCTTGAAACCTCTGGGTCTAAACGGATTGCCCATGAGCGAGGGGAGAGACAAAGGCGGCCGGGCGTGCATCAAGTGCTGTGTTTTGCCGACCGCGTGTGTGTGTTAAGTGGGGAGCGGTGGTGCCGTGGTTAGCGCGCTGCGATACGAACCCGGCAACGCGAGTTCGATTCCCGTTCACGGCCACCAATACCACGTGACGATTATCTGAACCGGTTTCCTGTGACTCCCCGCCCCCCCCCCCCTAGGTCGACTCAGCCTCAAATGTGTACCTGGGGTGCGGTGTGTATTAAACATCGCCGCTCGGGGAGACAAAGGCGGCCGGGCGTGGTGCCGACCACCCACCCCCTCGTGTCGACCTTCACAGGTGTTGCTCGCTAACAGCACTTGCCCCTACAGTCTGTTACAGGCTACACGGGGGATCTTTGTTTTGTTAAGTGGGGAGCGGTGGTGCCGTGGTTAGCGCTGCGCTGCGATACGAACCCCGGGCCAACGCGAGTTCGATTCCCGTTCACGGCCACCAACACCACGTGACTATTATCTGAACCGGTTTCCTGTGACTCCCCCCCCCCTAGGTCGACTCAGCCTCAAATGTGTACCTGGGGTGCGGTGTGTATTAAACATCGGCGCTCGGGGAGACAAAGGCGGCCGGGCGTGGTGCCCCCCCCTCTCTCGCGTGTGCTAACCGTGTCGGCCTTCAGAGGCGTTAACAACAGTCTGTAACAGGCGACACGGGGGTGGATCTGTGTCTTTGTGCTGCCTTCAACAGGAGCTCGCTAACAACAACAAAAGTCAATACAACGGTCGATATGGACAACGTCAAAATGTGTTGGATGGAAGAGGAACACACGGATTAAAGGTGCAGTTGCGTTGTACGTTGCTTAAATAAATGCGTCGTTGCAAGTGTTTTGAGGTAAGTGTTTTGAGGTAAGTGTTTTGAGGTAAATGTTTTGAGATAAGTTTTTGAGGTAAGTGTTTGAGGTAAATGTTTTGAGGTAGGTGTTTTGAGGTAAGTATTTGAGGTAAGTGAGGTAAGTGTTTTGAGGTAAGCGTTTTGAGTTGTTGTGTATGCGAGTGTCGCTTGGTAGGAGACGACTGGCAATGGTGAAGACTTATTTGACGACGGAGTGTGTGTGTGGTGTGGGGGGTAACCACAGAGACAGAGGAGATGGAGCGATGGATTAAATCGGACGAGTGGATTATTAATGATTAGCACGGCAAGATCGTGAGGAAGGTGGTTAGGTGATTTGGTGGTGGCGGCGTATGAGAGAGAGGCCTTCATCTAGCAGCGGATTGAACATTGGTTTGATGATGGTGATAATTAAAATAACAATGTCAACAAACGTTAAAAATCGTTGTTGTCTCCCACCTTTCATTTGAGCCTCGTGCTGAGCGAGAAGTTCCTTCCCGGGGTCTCTCATTTTGAAGCGTTGCTGGTTCATGACGGCCGAAGCTGCCCCGACTTGTACAACTTTTAAAAGCTTTATAAACTCGCCTGGAGGCAGACGCGGTTTTTGTTGTTGTTGCTGTTGTTAAAACTTAGCGATCGAAAACGACGGCCAGACGGCTTTCTTTTGACCTCCCCTCGCGGGAGATCGCAACTTAGCAAAAAAAAAGGAGAGAATTGCCGCTTTACAAGAAAACAAATAAAATAAAATAAATGTGTTAAACGTAACCACCGCCGCCGCCCCCCTGACACTGGCGGAGGGCGGGAAAAGTGGCGATGGAGGCGGTCCGGAACCGGCACCGCCGTCACGCCGCGCGTTGCGCAATCCCCTCAGCCGAGTCTATTAAATAAACAATTAAACAATTAAATATTCTTGGTTCTTTCGGTTAAAATCACGTTGAAGGGAAACAATAAAATATTTTAAAAATATATATAAAACAATAAAATTCTCACGGCGTTTCGACCGTAACGCAAGCGGTCATCGTCAGGTGTGAAAAAAACCAACGGCAAGAAGCATTTGAAAGAAGTGGAGGTTTGTATTTATTTATTTTCAAACGTTGTTTGTATTTATTAAAAATATATATAAGTAAATAAATAAATACAAACACCGGTCAAAATAAATAAATACAAACAACGTTTGAAAATAAATAAATACAAACCACCACTTCTTTCAAATGCTTCTTGCCGTTGGTTTTTCACACCTGATGATGACTGCTTGTGTTACGGTCGAAACGTCGTGATAATTTTTTATTGTTTTTTTACATATATTTGTATTATTTTATTGTTTCCCTTCAACGTGACTTTACCGAAAGAACCAATAATATGAATCACCGCAGTCACGAAAGCTTTAAATCAAAATTTAATTAAACAATTGTACAGCTTTTTCGATTTAAAGCTTTCGTGACTGCAAGGATTCATCTTCTTTGGTTCTTTCGGTAAAGTCACCACGTAGAATGAGAATAAAATAATAAATTTATAAAATAAAATAACACAATAATATTCTCACGACACCTGATGAAGGCCGCTTGTGTTGTGGCCGAAACGTCGTGAGAATATTATTGTTATTTTATTTTATCAATTTATTATTTTATTCTCATTCTACGCGGTGACTTTACCGAAAGAACCAAAGAAGATGAATTGTACAGCTGTTGTTGTTTGTTTGTTGTTGTTGTTGACCTTTGCGAGAAGGGTTGTCGTGGGTTTGTTACAATGCAGGAGGTTTCGTGATCCCGACGACAGCCGCCTCAGCAGACCGACTCAGGACGCTCTCTCTCTTCTCTCTATCTTTTTTAAATTTATATATATAAAAAAAACAGTTTCATTTGTTCGAAGACAACAAAAAAATAATTGAAACCAAAGTCACGTGCAATTTCATAAACAGTTGTAAAGTTGAAACGGCAGCACATTCAAGTGGTCTTCCATACCTTGAGCTTATGAACTCTACGCAAACGCTATCCAGCAAGCACCCGGACCTGTGGTCGTTCTTCAAGCCACCACTTGGGGCTACAAATTCAGGATGTTCTTCACATCTTCAAACTTCAAATTGAAGCATCTTTTTTTTCTACCTGGAGGGTCAAAAGAGAAGCAAACGTGCAGAACTTCAGTCAGAAAGTTCTAACCCAGTAAGACCACGACTCTCTCTCTCTTCTTCTTCTCTCTCTCTCTTCGGTAAAGTCGCGGAGTTAAGAAATTAAATTAAAAATTAACGATGGTTCTAGATTTGAAGCTTTCGTGACTGCTAGGATCCACACTCTTTGGTTCTATTGGGTAAAGTCACGTAGGTAAAAAATAAAATAACAAAAATCACGACGTTTCGGCCACAACACAAGCGGCCTTTTTTTGTTTCACTCCAGCGCTGTCCTCCAGACAGTCTCGTCCCTTCACCTGATGAAGGCCGCTTGTGTTGTGGCCGAAACATCGGTGATTTTTGTTATTTTATTTTTTATTTATTTCTAACTACTACGCGATTATTTTTTTTACCGAAAGAACGTTAGAAGTGTGGATTTCTTGCAAGTCACGAAAGCTTCAACATCAAGAGCTATGCAGGCGTTGTTGTTGGTGATTGTGGGTTCCCGGGCCTCCCCTAGGTCGACTCAGCCTCAAATGGGTACCCGGTTGCGGTGTGTGGTAAACACTGGGGAGACAAAGGCGGTCGGGCGTGGTGCTGCCCACCCACCCACTCACCTCGGCGTGTGCCGTGCCGGGCTTCGTAGGTGCTGCTCGCTAACAGCACTTGCCCCCCACAGTCTGTTACAGGCTACACGTGGGAGGACCTCGTCGTCTTTGCCCTTATACATCTCAACGTTCATCGTACAAAGTCCCATCATCACAAACAAAGAGACAATTTCATATTTTTTTCCTGCCCGTATTGAAACGGGCTGTGGGGTCGTCCATAAATGACGTCACGCGATTTTTGACGATTTTGCCCCCCCCCCCTTCGTCACACTGGGTCACAAAAAGTCAGACCCCCCCTCAAATGTGACGTCACAAAGCTCTGCCCCCCCCCCCAAAAAAATATATAAAACATGCTTCAAATCGCTTTAAACTATTGTCATTGTAGTGCGCATTTAATGTGGCGCTGCACTCTGATGTTGTAGGAGAAAACATTTATTTAAAAGTTTATTTAATTTAGTAGAACGTGTTGTCTATGTTTATTTAAAGTTGCGAATTTTGATGTGACGTCACATTTCTCAAACCCCCCCACCTACCCCCTTTGTCACACATCGTCACAAATGTCTGCCCCCCCCCCCCGGTGCGTGACGTCATTTATGGACGGCCCCTGTACGCCGTATGGACCTGAAAAGTCAATTTTCCTGCACAAGCATACGGGCTAAACCGTCTGGGTTGACACGGTACGAGTCCTATGTTTCAGGTCGCAATCCTTTCGTAAAGCTTTACTGTGTGATTAAATAAATCAAGGTGCAAAACACAGTAAAACGTTATACGTATATGGCAGTACTATGTGTCAAGTTATGTATACAGTTCGTATGTGTTGTATCAACAACAAAAAATACGATGTATGTAAAATGAATGAAGTATTTAAAAAAACCTTGAGTTTTGTGTGTTTGGTTTTGTTGTGCTCCCACCCCGAGCACCTGCGATTAGCACGTTTGGCTACGTACGGTGCGAAATAAGTTCAACGTTTTCTTGGTTATTTCGGTAAAGTCACGTCGAATGGGAAATAATAAAAATAATAAAAATAAACCAATTAAATTATCACGACGTTTCGATTGCAACACAAGCAATCATCATCAGGTGTGAAAACCACAGCAAGACATTTTGAAAAAAGTGGCGGTTTTTTTCTACAAATTTTCTTGCTGTGGTTTTCACACCTGATGATGATTGCTTGTGTTGCAATCGAAACGTCGTGAGAATTTTATTGTTTTAGTTGTATTATTTTTATTATTTCCCATTCTACGTGACTTTACCGAAAGAACCAAGAATATGAATCCCTGCAGTCAGGAAAGCTTTAAATCGAAAAATAAAAGTTCAACATTATATACAAATATATTTTTTGGGGTTAATTGGTGTGCAATTGTCTCTGTAAATAAAATGTATATGGGCTACAGTATTAAATTAGGTTGCACGAATATCAAAGTAAATGTTATAGGAGGGGTCTTATAATTATCATGAGAATGAGTCGCGTAACGTACAGAAGGCTCTAACTAGCTTATTAGCCCAATGGCATGAATGGTTAAAGTACAGAATTAGCGATCAATCTCACCACTTAACGCCGTATCTTGTATGATATTGTGTGTCCGTAAATTGTAGAACATATAGCAGCACTTGCGATGATGATGATTATGGTGGTGATGATGTGGATGTGAATATTTTGATAGTGGTGGTGTTGATTGATAGTGGTGGTGTTGAAATTAATATGTAAATGAAAAAAACACGATGAATTTGGGTGGTATAAGACATCTGGACCACCCTGTATAATCTAGATGATGGAGGCGATGGGTAGCATTGCGTAATGTTTTTTTAAATGATGGTCATCCAAATGGTGTCGTTGATGGTGATGTTGGTGATGTTGATGCAATGGTTGGAATGTAAAATATGATGGTGAATGTGATAGTGATGATGATGACAACGTAGACCGTGGTGGTTTTTGGTGATGTTCATAGCGATGGCGAAAGGGATGTTGATGTGGTATTGACTGGGTGATGATAAATAAAAGTTTGATTCTTCCTAACCTCGCCACTTCGTCGCGGTTCAATTCCGCACACGGCTCGTTCTGGATGGTTTAAGGGAGGGGGGGGGGGGACAATCAACGGACTTGTCGCCGCCATGAGAACGTAGAATTTCCACCGCTGGCTCACGCAGCCGACATCGAGGGCGAATTGCGGCCCCTCGTGGCCGTCCGAGGTTTCGTTCGAGTTCGCGGTGTCTTGCGACTTACGACAAACAACAGAAAGACAAAAGCGGAACGAACACACAAGGAGATAACCGATACACAGATTGGGGGCCGTCCATAAATGACGTCACGCACCTGGGGGGGGGTCAGACATTTGTGACGATGTGTGATGAGGGGGGGGGGTTGAGAATTGTGACGTCACATCAAAATTCGCAACTTAAAATAAATATAGACAACACGTTCTACTTAATTATAAATAGACTTTTTAATAAATGTTTTCTCCTACAACATCAGAGTGCAGCGCCACATTGAATACCCACTACAATGACAATAGTTTAAAGCGATTTGAAGCATGTTTCTTTTGGGGGGGGGGGGGGGGGCAGAGCTTTGTGACGTCATATTTCAGGGGGTGGTCTGACTTTTTGTGACACCGTATGACGAAGGGGGGAGGGGGGTCAAAAATCGTCCAAAATCGCGTGACGTCATTTATGTACGGCCCCTACGTTGAATTCCGGGTCACGACTTGTAAACATCAAAGTGAAATGCGTCAACTGATTCTGGAACTCACCCTTACGTAACACTTAGGTGGAGGAGCCAAGAGGCTGTAATCGAGTAAACATATTGATGTTCTCGGGCTTTCTCTGCCACGTGGCGTCGTCACGACAATGACTCTGGTGCTCTTAATGCTCTATTGTGCGGTCTGCCGCAGGGGTCCCCAACCCCCGGGCCACGGACCGGTACCGGTACGTGGCCCGGGGGAGTTAGACTGATGGCCTTAATCTAAGTTTTCTTGTTGTTGTTTGACTTGCATCCCACTGGGATTTTTGCACACAGCGTTGGTGTACGGTGCTATTTCAGGAATATTTTGATGTTTTTTTTCCTGGATTTTCTGTTTGCACATGCACAAAGTCACTTTAAGATGTTTTCTTGTTCGTGTTTTTGTTTGTTGCGGTTGCACCCGATTCAAGAGC